ATGCCTCGCACCATCTACTTCAAAAGGTTTCAAGATCGACCCAAGGATCCAAGGACTTGGTGGTTGTGGAGGAAAGCCTTATCCCTGTTTGCTCCGAACCTCAAGTTGGACGTACCACTGGGGAGGTGGCTCGTCTCTGCTGACAAGCTCCGCATGCGACACAGGTTCTTCCACGAGGTCGATTCCAACGTCGTTTATCAACAAGTTGATAATGAGGAGTCCGAATTCTGGATGTTCCAACATCAGTTCATCGCTGGGAGTTCGGAGATGAGACCTACCTGGACGCCAGCATCCTACACAACTCTGTGCCACTGGATCCCTACTTCCCCCGATCTTGCACCTCAGTTCAACCAGACTCTGGAAAGTGGCGAGTCCTAGACCTGACCCTCTTCAACAAGCGTGAGACAGTGGTAGTTGGTAGTGGTTTCACAGCAGGCATTCCTGCTCGTCCACTCCCACCCACACCGACAACATTTGAGGATTTCCTTGCCACTTTGGAGTAGCTCTCTATGACGAGCTTGAATGGATGGTGGACGCTTACTCCGTCCTGCAGATTGTCACAGCCATGCCCTTCTGGGTGGCAAGTGATGGGGCTGCAGACATTGACGCCGGTAAGGCGAGTTTTGCTTGGGTTCTGGCAGACAATCGCGGTCAGATTGTGCTTCGGTGCTCTGGTCCCGTTTTTGGTATGGTTCCGACATCCTACAGGGTGGAGGCTTATGGCATCCTATCCCCTACTTGCCTTCTGCGGAGATTGCTGGAGTTCTATGACCAAACCAGCATGAAAGATTATGTGCACCTGTGCGACAATGAATCCGTTACCAACAAGTGTGCTGGCTGTCTGGATTACGAGGGCTGGTACCCCAATGATTCCTTGGACTCCGACTGGGATGTCTTGCAGCAGATCGAGGATTCGTTTCGGGCTGCAGTCACAGTGCCAAAGATGGAGCACATCAAATCGCACCAGGACAAGCACAAGGCCATCGAAACACTACCTTTGAAGGCTCAACTGAACTGCAGAGCCGACAAACTGGCAGACAGTTACATGACCCGACACATGAAACAGGATCACTCCAAGGTGCTCCGATTTCCGGCCAACTTGGCCCAGCTACACCTTCCCAAAGGAACATGCACATACAAGCTTCCCAGAACACTGCGGCATCTCAGGAACGACCAGCCCTTGTTCGACCACATTGTCAAACTGAATCCCGACTGGGATGAGGACACCCCTGCACTGGTTGATTGGACAGCCCATGGTCGAGCTGTCAACCGTCATGAGATCCACAAACCGACAATTGTGAAGTTCCTATTTCAATTGTTGCCAGTTGGGAAACGGATCCACCGGGATGACCCCAAGTATGATCACCACTGTCCCCGTTGTGGCGGTGATCACGAGACTGAAACCCATGTTTACCGATGCCCACATGTTGACGTGGATTTGTGGCGAGGGACCATGCAACGAGCGATCAGCACAGTTGCGCAAGGATTCCAATGTTCCATGGGACAGCCTTGAGTCGTGCAACCCAAAGCCAAAGGCAGAACAGGGAGGGAGCGTAGCGGGGTGGGAGAAGTTACCCCCTGTCCAGGTGGAGGCGAGGACAGGGGGCCGAGGACTAGGGGTAGGTTAGTCCTCGTAGAGTTCTTAGTGGAGAAGAATCTCGTTGAAGTGTTGGGGCGCTTGTGCCGGGAGAGGTGGCGATCGTAGGTGCCTCCCGGGAAGTTGTACGCCCCATGGTCCAACATCTGTTGGGAGTAGTGTGGGTGGCGGCAGCGGCTTGGATGCGCAGGTAGCGGAGCATGGCTCGGACTTCCAGCGGCCGAGAAGGCGGATGGCATCCGAGTCCAATGGGCGCAGTGAAGGGCGTGGCACCACCAGGACGGAGGAGCGGGCAGAGACCTTTCAGGGTTGATGCCGGGTCTGGGAGATGAGGGCCGCAGCGTGGCGGAAGGCGTTGGGATGAACTGGGGCTTCACAGGATACCACGGTTGCGGGCCGCATTGAAGTGGTTGAAGAGGGGAGTATCGAAGGCGAGTTTTGCATGGGTCCTGGCAGACAACCGCGGCCAAATTGTGCTTCGGTGCTCTGGTCCAGTTCTTGGTCTGGTCCCAACTTCATACAGGGCCGAGGCCTATGGCATTCTATCCCCTACTTGCTTCTTCGACGATTGCTGGAGTTCTACGATCAGACCAGCATGAAGCATTATGTACACTTATGCGACAATGAGTCTGTGACGAACAAGTGCGCTAGCTCTCGAGTATGAGGGATGGTACCCCAATGATTCGTTGGACTCCGACTGGGTGTCTTGCAGCAGATCGAGGATCGTTCCGGGCTGCAGTCACTGTGCCCAAGATGGGCACATCAAATCCACCAGACAAGCACAAGGCCATCGAAACACTACCCCTAAAAGCACAATTAATTGCAGAGCTGACAAACTGGCAGGCATGTACATGACCAGACACATCAACAGAGATCACTCCAAGGTACTCGATTCCGGCAAACCTGGCCCAGCTGCACCTTCCCAAAGGAACATGCACATACAAGCTCCCAGAACACTGCGGCATCTCAGAACGACCAGCCCTGTTCGACCACATTGTCAAACTGAATCCGACTGGGAGAGAGACACCCCCGCACTGTTGATTGGACAGCCCATGGTCGAGCTGTCAACCGCAGAGATCCACAAACCGACAATTGTGAAGTTCCTATTTCAATTGTTGCCAGTTGGGAAACGGATCCACCGGGATGACCCCAAGTATGATCACCACTGCCCCGTTGTGGCGGTGATCACGAGACTGAAACCCATGTTACCGATGCCCACATGTTGACGTGGATTGTGGCGAGGGACCATGCAACGGCATCAGCACAAAGTTTCGCAAGGATTCCACCGACCCTTTCCTCCTGGAAATTGCTTGGATGGACTACAATACCACTTGAAGATCGATTCCTCCACCCATGGCACTACCCTGACAGGTATGGGACCTCGTTGACACTCAAAATCTACTTGGTTGGGACAACTTCCTGAGAGGACGTTTGTCCACGCACTGGGCTAAGCATCAAGATGCATATCTCATCGGGTCGGCTCCCAGGAGACAACCAAGACAGGCAGCTCTGGGTCACCAACCTAGCCTCACTGCTATCCAGCAGTGGTGGAACCTGTGGGAGGATCGCAATGCTGCCAGGCATGGCAAAGACAGGAAGACCAGTGGAAGAAGAGCACGAACAGCTTCAGCGGGAGGTGGACTCATCTACGAGAAAGCGTATTGATCCCAGCGGAGCTGTGGACTTTATCTTCAAGCGACCGCTTGACGAGCAAATGGCAAAGGGCCCAGGCGACATCAAAGCGTGGCTTGCCAATTGGCTGCCCGTCGTCGACAAGGCACTCAGGGGCGAGCATGCACGCACAATGCAGACAATGACACAAGGTAACTACGCACAGAAGGGGTCCTGCCGTAGAAATAGATGGCAATCCAGCCAAGGGTAGATAGTTAGCTGCAAAGCACCCTCCGGAGTTTTTAAACTTCTCGGTGGGGGGCTTGCACTAGGCCGGTTCCTATGTGGGCGTCCTTGTACGTCTGAGGTACTCCGGTTCAATATGGCTCCGTTCAGCGGGTGGTCTATTGAGGTGCAGCCTAAATAATAAAACTTCGTAATCTGTGGCGAGGGACCATGCAACGAGCGATCAGCACAAAGTTGCGCAAGGATTCCACAGACCCCTTCCTCTTGGAAATTGTTCTGGATGGGCTTCAACATCACTTTGAAGACTGGTTCCTACACCCGTGGCATTACCCAGACCGGTATAGGGACCTTGTTGACACTCAAAATCTCATTGGCTGGGATAATTTCCTGCGAGGACGATTGTCCAAGCACTGGGCTAGCACCAAGATGCATATCTGCATTGGGTCGGCTCCCAGGAGACCACCAAGACCGGGCAGCTCTGGGTCACCAACCTGGCTTCTGTTCTGATCCAGCAGTGGTGGAATCTCTGGGAGGACCGCAATGCCGCCAGGCACGGCCGGGATCAGGAACAGAAATGGCGCAAGAAACACGAACAGCTCCAGCGAGAGGTTGAGCTCCTGTATGAAAAAGCGGACCTGCTCCCAGAGCATCTTCTTGATACCATCTTCAAATGACCCCTGGAGGAACAGATGGCCAAAGGGCCGGGAGATATCAAGACATGGCTGGCCAATTGGCTTCCAGTTGTGGACAAAGCAATGAGGGATGAGCATGCAAGTAAGCAGCCTTCCCAATCAGGGTAACTATATAGCGGGCGATTTAGCCTAGAGTAGATAGTTAGTCGTACAGCACCCTCCGGAGTTTTGTTCAATTTATCCGGTGGGGGGCTTACACTAGGCCCATCCTAAGTGGGTGCCCTCGTGCGCCTGAGGAATATGGGTTCGTCACGGCACCGTTCAGCGGATCGTCTGACGAGGTGTAGCCTTTAAAATAAAATTTCGTTATATTTTTTTCAGTAGGAGGGTCACGGCCGGACAAGAAGGTCCGTTCAAAGAAGGAGCGCTAAGCGGAGTAAGTAAGTAAGCATGGTCGACGACTAGGACAAGCTCGACGACCACATGAGTGTGTTGGGGATTCGCGATTATGGATTGAACCTGTACCTCTGTACTAGAATTTCACACCAGTAGAAATACAGATACAGAGCCCACCCACTTTTTCAGTAGTATCTCAATAGCAACAGTAAACTAGAAGAGAGCTTAGAGCAACTAACAGATCCCACTCAACATTTCATCCACACCACCCTTATCAGCATTATTAGACGCCCACACGCAGCAGCATCAAGGTCCTACAACAACAAGAAACAAAGATAATGCCCCTCACATCCACAGCCTCCGTGGCAATGGAGATGAAGGCCACCTCCGCAACTGCTACACACTAGCTAGATTCAATGCCCGACCATACATCGCAGGAATCCCCTGGAAGATCCCGTCCACCCTGGCACCCGCCCCAACATTCCTGACACAATGCCACAGGACCACAGATCACCCGCATGGTCTCAGCCTACAAGTACGATCTCACCAAATTCCAGCTCTTCCAATCCACCGTGAAAGCACTAAACCGTAAGACAATGGAAGCCATCGAAGAAGTCTATTACAAGTCACTGCGCGACCCCGACGAAGGATACTCCACACTCCGCTACATCGATCTCATTGTCCACCTCAACAAACAGTATGGAAAGCTAACCAATGATGATCCCAACAAAAACTTTGAAAGAATGAACGCGAAATGGACACCTACACAGCCCATTGAGCAACTCTTCCATCAAATCGATGATGCCGTCTCCTTTTCCAAGGACCATGGCCCCATCAGTGCAAAAGCTACCGTTCATTCGGCACAAAAAAACCTCGAAAACAGTTGCGTCTTCCCTCTGGCTGTCAAAGATTGGCGCAACAAACTCAAAGAAGTCCAGACTTGGGCCAACTTCCAAGTACCACCAAAGAACCACCAAATGAACCCCTTCCTCATCAAAGGAGACTGCAGCACATACATGTCGTACTGCTTCTCCCATGGCATCCAATGGGACCTCAACCACAATAGCTTCACCTGCTGGAAAATGGATTCATGCATAATTTTCCAGGCCTGACGCTTGCTTCTTTCAAGCGTTGGACTCCTAACACAGTGGCAACTGCCAAAAGACATCTCGATCAGTCCAGACGCAATGTCAAGTCAAAACAACCAAAATAACCACAATCTCTATTCCTACAACTCGAAAATGAACCAACCTCTGCTTCAACCACTATACCCTCTCCGACAAGCACCACCAACCTCGACCATGACATCGGCCCGCCACTTGACCAAGCTACCCACCAATGCTATACAGCCATTTGGAACACACAAGATGGTAAGGTTTACAGTGATCAAACCAGCATATTCCCTGTCACCTCTCATCGTGGCAACCAATACATGTTTCTCCTGCATGACATTGACACTAACACCATCAATGTACGGCCGCTTCCCAACAGGCATGACAAAACCATACAGCTCGCCTACAAGTCCGTCCATGATATGCCCGTCCTTTCTGGCCACAAACCCCAACTCTACACGCTCGACAACAAATGCTCCTCCACGCTGAAGAAGTTCCTCGCTGAAAAACACGTCCAATTCCAACTCATCCCACCCGGCATGCACCGTCGGAACGCAGTCGAACGGGCCATTCGCACCTTCAAAACCACTTCCTCACCATCTTAGCTACGACCGACCCAGGCTTCCCCATGAACCTCTGAGATGAACTCCTTCCACAAGCCGAACTGACACACAACCTTCTCCAACCACGTCGTCACAATCCTAAACTCTCTGCCTATGAGTCCCTCTATGGCCACTTCGACTTCAACGCCACGCCCATTGTGCCACTCGGCATCCATGCCAAGACTCTGCCACGAAAAACCCAAGGACTGTGGCATGTGGGCACCCAAAGGCAAAGATACCTGGTACATTGGACCATCTCTCCACCACTACCAATGCTACCGTGTCTACATATGGGAAACCCACAGCAAAGCCTGTGTTTTAGCGATTCGGCAGTTTGTGAGTAAACTTACTTAGTTCAGTCATTTTTGCTAAAATCGTATGACACAAGCACTCTGAGAAAATCTACGTTCGTACCAGCAGCAACTTCGTATCGGTAGCTCCGTAGCGATTTTTGTTTGTTGCTAGCTAGCTAGCGATTTTTGCTAGCTTTTCAGCCGACACCATGGCCATCCTATCTCTATCCAGAGATGTTCGCCTATTGTTGTTGTCTACTTCGAACAATGATTCTCAGACGGGCACTACTGATACTACTAAAGCGAACAGTCACTGTGATCTCTCCCTTGAGGATGAGGTACAAAGCTTAGTAGGTGAAATAAGTGAGAAATATGTCCCACAATCAAGCACCGACGATGTAATCCTCGATGCCATTGATGGCCTTTGAAGATACAAAGATTCCGTGAGGTGGAAACACTATCACAGGGAACAACAACAGGAGAAAGCAAAGAAGCTCGGACTACAGACCGGAGAGAACAAAGAAGAAGAAAAGGAAATCTACAACGAACAACCAGATAACAACAATGAAGGACCCAAGACAGGTCTTAGACCACAGAAGATCAACATGATGGCCCCAACAGCCTCAGACAACGTAGCAGTCTTCCAAAAAAAACTGGAGAAGATAGTACTACAAATGGCCACCGATTACAAAGGACATCTAAGAAGCGCATAATGGGGTAGCGCGAAAACAACGAGGTCGGTTACAAAATTGCCAGGTCAGTCGATGGTAAGGTTACCAATGGGTAACTGACCTCGCGCTTATATATGGTGGGTACAAGAACACCGAGGAATGATCCTTCCCATTTTGTGAGGTCAGCTATGCAATATTCAAGAACCTCTTATCCTACTAATTGAAGACGATCGACTCAGGCATATACAGATGCAATTGCAGCACGAGTCATTGGCGCAACGGTTACAGAATGTTGAACTAAGCGTTCACTATTCCTCTACCGAATTCCGTTCCCCTTTCTATACATGGCTTACAGTTGATGCACTTTGTGATGCTAATTACAGAAGGGCAGTTGTAGGCTATTCCCCAAGCCCCGGAATCCAAAACAGCTCAGCCATTCCTTCCCAAATGAAAGAGTCCTAGGTTACTAAATCTATAAGTAGGGTTTCCAAATGGAGAAAAGCAGTACACAATAGTTGGATATGATTGGGCTAAATTCGTTATGGTACTACTAATAACAGAGTAGTGGAGGTAAGCGAAAAATGACATAATGTTCGTAGTAAAAGGGGAGAAACAGTCACTCATATGTAACCAATGTAACGGTACGGGCATCATAGGTCCGAGAAAAGGGCAAATGATTCCAAAAAAGGACGGCGGGGCAACCAAACAAGGACGCATAGGTAACAAAGTTGTCTTGGAAGCCCTGCTAAAAGGGGAGAAATGAAATTGAAAAAGTGGAGGAAGCCACCAAAAGCCTGGGTAGGACCCCACCAAATGATGGGGTCCTAGGTTGCCAAGGGCAACCTAATCATCAATCTCATCAAGATTCACACTGGACTCTTGGCGCTTGCGCTTCTTCTTGGAGTCCTCAGTTCCAGCATCGACACTATCAGGAATCTTGTAGATGTCCTTGCGCACACGAGCAAGGATGGCCCGCTCCACCAATTTGCATGGTCCTGGGCTCTAGATCCTTGACAAGCTTCTGCAAATCCTTTAAGCGGCGAAGGCCTTTATCACCCCACCCTCCAAAAGCAGAAGATCAGCCTTGGAACTGGAGTACCTCCTTCATAAACTCCCTCCGGATCATCTGCTTTGCTGGAGCGAGGCAACTTCACGTCCAAGGTGAAGCCATTGGTAACCTTGAAGTACTCGTGCCACTTTCCATTGGTAGCGTTGCCTTCATTGTCCACAGCACCTGGTTCCGCTGTGTAACCATTCTCGAAGGCGAGGGCAGCAAATGCTTCCGAATTGGGAGGGAAAGCCTCCAACCATCAACCCTGGCTTCCGAAATGATGTAGTTCTTGCGAACTGCCTTCTCCAAAACTTGGATGCACAACCAGCCTGAGCAAAGAGGCAATCCCACATCCATTTAGCAACAAACATGAGTCGCTCATGCGTGCCTTCGCACCCTCAGTGGCTCCCTCTCCAGGTGGCAACAAGATGGCATCCCGCTTGATCACCTTCAGGACCTCAATCATGGTTGGGAACTTGTCCACTCCATGTACCTTGACAAGCTTCTTGACATGCTCAAAGATTCGGTTACAAACATAGTTGCGTACAACATTGAGGTCTTGACTGCAATAGGTGACCAGAGCTTGATGAACAGTTTGCGCTGGACTTAATACCTATGTCAGCACAGCAAGAAAAGGGAGGTAGCCGGTGTGAGATTTGCAAGGTGCATCAGACAATCCACAAGCAAAACCAACTCAATTACGTACGTCTGTCCTTCTTTGCATTGCCAGTCAACATCAGCCCCTTCAACTGCATAGTATCAAGAGTGGCCGTGGTAAGGGCAATTGCCAGCTTGTTGCTGTTGACAAACTTGAACCTCCGCCAGTCAGTGTTCATGATTGCCGTCTTTGAAAGCGTTACAGTTCCTCCACGACTCAGAGTATCCGTGAGTAGATTGAGTCATGTTTTATGAGTCAACACGATGGAACAGAGAACGCTGGCAAGAACACGTTCTCAACGAAACAAAAGGGCACGGTAAATTGGAGTATTCGACAGGAGTAAAGCATCCTGCCAACGAACCGTTCCCGC